CCCTGCCTACACGGGGTAAGCTGAGCTGTCTGTTACTGCTGAGCACATCTCTACGCTCTGTAGTAATACTGCTGTAAAGGGGGTGAGTTGTGGTGGCAGACAAATGTTTTCTGAAGAGTTTGGGGACTGAATCACTGTAGCTAAGTGAGATCACTTGACTGGTTAATGGGAACAATGTGAACATGCTCAAACACTTTCATATCTGTTTCTTTCACAGTCTCTCTTCTCAAATACAAGTCTACAAGAATGTGAATAGTAAAGGCTATATACAGAAGGGTTTTATGCCAAATTCATCTCCTTGCCTAGCCATGAAGTGATGGCTGATTTTTAACTAAATAACTGGATGTTTAAAAAGTATCTTGAATTATTCAAGTATTCACATTCTTGCAAAGCAGTTAATTGTTGACCATAAAAAGTGTTAATGCTTAGAGAACTTGAACTGTTGTCTATTTCTGTGCACAGAGGCAAGATTTTAGTATCTTGGTGGTTTCAAACTGGACTCTTGAGTATATTTTGTAGTCTGTCTCTGAAAAGACTGAATTTACTGAGCCTTCCTATCAGAAGCCTGAAGTACAAGTAGCTTGACAGGCAAGTTTTGGCCACCTGTCACCAAACTGAACACAGCAGGCCAGTAGCACTTGGAGATCCATCACCTGAACCAGTCTGTACCTTGTCTTGAGGATGAGAGCAGATAGACAGTATGTTTTGTAATAACTCACATTTGAAGCTTACTTGAAAGTTGCTATTAATAACATATCTTTGGAGGTATTCAAACCCTGGTTGGACGCACTCCCAGGCAACCAACTGTAGGTGGCCCTTCTTGAACAGGAGTGTCGGACAAGATGATCTCCAGAGGTCACTTCCGACCTAAACCTTTGTTGCTCCTCAGCCAAAGGCAGTTGAGGAGCACCTAGACAGGCTCAGTGTACTGTCAGTGAGTCATGAGAACAAATGTAGGGATTTTGTGTTTAAGGATGGGAAAGGCACCAGACTGACATCCAGTCCTAGGTGTTCAATGTTTTTAGTTTTCTTTGCAGTGTCCAAATTTCATATATATGTTTGTTTTTTTTTTTTCCTAACCATAGCAATGTATGGTTAATGTATAATTATGTATAATACGTAAGCTGGAGCTGCTGATACCATCTGTTTGTGCTATTCTGTTGTTCCTCTGACTCTTATGACTATTGAAGCTGCTGGCAGTGCCTATGTGCTGAGTTTGCATGGGTAATTTAGGAACCCTTGTCTGAAAAATTGGGTCATAATAGTTCAGTAATTGTACAAAGTCTATAGCAGCTCCAAAAGTTCCTATTATACTAATAGAAGGTTACAAGAAACAGAGGTTAAACGCGGGTGGATATGTAGTGTTTACCTACACGCCTGTGTTCATTACAACCATTTTCAGAAAACTGCAGAATCAATTTTGAATGCTTCTCTGATCCAAACTTCTCTCTCCAATGGAGGCACTATGGTATCTCAGTTTTCTTACGTCCTAACAATGGTGTTGTCATGCTCAGTTTTTGTAAAATCTCACTAAACTTATTTGTTACTTATCAAATCACATTTCTGAAGACAAATACTGCAGCTTTTCAGGTAGACCTCTTTTTCAGAAGACCAAAGTGAGTCAAACAGGATAAGGGAACAATAGAAATAGTAGAGAATAGCCTTAAGAGACAGCACAACACTAACAGAAGCTAAGCAAATATGAGTAATATTTATACGAAGTATGCAACTAATTGAGTCCTAGTTATGCTAGAAGGAAATGAAATAAACAGAAAATGTGAAAAGTGAGAAGATTCATAAGTAAGAAACTAGACTAGGCTTTTTACGGATGGAGATTAGAAAACTATTTAAGTTGCAAAGCAACCAGTAGATATGATTGTTACCTTAAATGGACTAATGGAACTTTGCAGCAGTGGTGGATGTATCTGTTCATTCTACATAAATCAAGAGAATTGAATATTAATAATACCTGCTGAAGTCATGTAGATCAAGACAATTCCATGGTTCACAATAAGACAGTGAAGAAAGGATCTTCTTCAGGCTAGTGGGTGGTCTCATGCACTCATGTGGAGCATAGTTCATCATAACCTTCTTTGAAACTTAATCACTACCCAGGGTAAATCAGGCAAGATTTTCTTACTTAATAAGCTGATTGATTTGTTAGTTTTTCTTTTTTTTTTTCTTATTTTCTTTCTCTTTCATTCTTGTGATCATAAGCTTTACAAGTTTTTTATAAACGTAACACATGAACTTTGCTTGTGTTATCTGTATTGTATTGTTCCTTAAGTACTTATTGACACTGTACATCTAAAATTTTCCATACGAGAGAGAACCTGAGGCAGACTCCTTGAACTCCTGGGGTTTCCAGCCAACTTGCTCTGTGATGTGCTTTGCTGTTTTCTCAGACTATCTCTGGATACATCAGTTCCACTGCACATGCAAACCTTTGCAGGTATTTTCAGTCTTCATTGCTAGAAGGTCTGAATTTGTTTCTTCTTCTGCTTCTTATAACTATAAAATACTGAGTAATATGGGTTCTTTGGTATTCTATATTATTTATACCATAATTATGTCTGAGTGTCAAAGTGGCAATAAAACACAGTGTACGAAGTGCTACACAAGACCCAGAAACGAAAGACCATCTTTGTCCTGAACAAATAACACATGAAAAATTTGAAGAACATGGGCTATTTTTTGACCAGAAATTAAATCAGGATATCAAAAATTGTGGAAGTGTAACCAATTTTACAGGATTGGTTATTAAATACTAGCTACCATTCTTTTATGAAAGATGAGAAAGCCCTATTTTATTTTTATTTATTAATTTTTTAAAGTACGGTCACCATGCAATTGCATCCTTTTACAGCACTCAGTTGAAAAGTTAGCTAATTCAGTAAGATATGTACTGTTTCATGTGCAGAGGTGTCTAGAGCCCAATGCAAGTGTCACTGCTCCAGCCACGTGAGCATGGTGGTACGAATTCAAAGAAGAGACAAAATGAAACTTGTGGGCTTAGGGGTTTTTCAGCAACATCAGAAGTTTCAGAGATGTTGAAAATTATTGATTTTCTTATGAAAAGCTATTACAGATTGTTTACATAACCCACTTATTCCATTTAGATGAAAACTGTTGACCAAGGAGTACCACACCTTGGGAAATCCAAGGCAGTTTTGCATTCTAACTTTACTGCTTTCACCCAAGATCCTCTTCTATGATCAAATTAGGAGTAAGTGGCTAATCTTCTGTCCACATACCATTTGTGCTGAGGTTTGCTGCACCTCATCTGGCAAGCCTTACTGGCATTCAGAGAATTTAAATACAGACCACAGTTCACACAAGCACTAAAATGCACATAGGGCCTCAGGTCTCCATCAGCTCCAGTTTTCAAAAGTCTAAGCTCTCTTCCCCTTTTTGGTTCTTTTTGTCCACGGACCCCTTAAGAACTTGAGTGCTAGTGAAGCTACTATGATGTGTAGATGGTTCTATGGAAAAATGCATTTCCCAGAGCTGTTACAAGTGGGATCCTTGAAGCTGAATGTGAGTCCACTTTGGCCTGGAGGATGCTCGTTTGTGTAAATGGTCAGTGGGATCAAGGCTGGGATGAGTTCATTACCCAGCTTCCTTCCAGAGCTGACACATGTCGCTGGCACAGGCACATCAGTGGTGCCATAGAGGGACATACAGCTCTGACACTGGGTCTGACGAATCCCAGTCCCTTTGAATCATTTCAGTTGCAGTTGAAACTACTTTGATCTGTTTAAGGCCTTCTGTGTTGCTCTTAAAACATTAAAGGAGTAAAAACCTCTGTCCTTAGTGAGCATTTCAAGGGCTTGCTTTTGCTTCCAACAAAAATGGTATCAAGGAAGTATTGTTGTGCTAGACCAAAACCTGCTTTCTTCCTCTTCTTTTGTAATCCTCAGCCAGTTCTGGGAATCTTAACATTAGGCTTACAACCATCCTTGACTTAACAGCCTCACACTGCTGGTGTTACTTTGTGATTTCCAAGTCTATCCTTGGAGTGATGTTCTTGCCTGTCTGGAGTGGTACCTGTGAATCCCTCAACATTTGGCTGTCTTGGAAACAGGCCAGAGACATAGACTGCCCAATCTCTCTTTAGCATCTCTGTAGAAGAGTGATCATCTGATTCCATGGTTTTACTTTACCACCTCTGTGATGGGTATGCTGGAATCTTATATTCAGATTATTTCCCAGTGCCTATGTCTCTTAGTGGGCTTTTAAAGTGACTTGATAGCCAGGGATGCTCTGGCCCTTGCATGGAGTACTCCCTGGAGCCCTCCCTTTCACATTAAACAGCCTACTGCTCCTACTGGGCCAAATCCTGTCCTAGTAAAAGATTAATTACAGACATTAAAACAGGCAGCAAACACCCTTGCTATTACTTGCAGTGCCTCTGAAAAAAAAAAGCTTCTCAAAAACTGAACAATGAAGTTCTAAAGGCAGTGCAGTCCAGCTTCCTTATAGATAATAGATCTTCTAATGCTTTTTAGGGTTAAGTAGCAAAGATTTTTTTTCTCTCTGGGCCATTACCATTCAGAAAAGTGCTGCCATAAGGTTTTGTGGAAAAATAAAACAAAAACAAAAACATGCATTTGGCATATTTTGTTATGAAACTAAACTGACACTCAACTACCTTTTCCTCACTTGACCACCACTTAAATGAAACATGGCTTAACACATGACAGGGAAGTTCTTCTTTCTTGGAAACCTTGACCCTGCTGCCAGTAAACATGGAGACATCGTTTAGAAAAACGTCATAGAAGATTGTGGTCAAATTTATTGAAAGTGGAGCAAGATGTATAAAAAAGCACAGCAAGAGCACCGATCAGCCACCACACGAGCAACAGGTTATCTGCGTGAACATCTTGGTGCAGAAGCCGCTTTGAGGGTTAACAAAATTAGGTTAACCTCTGTCATCTAAGAGTTTGGCTGTGTCACATATGCTGCTGTGACTGTAGAGGCACGGAGATTTGGGAGCAAAGATGAAAATATGTTCTATTTTCAGATCTGGGCATTTTTTATTTCTGCTTTGTCTTTTCACTGTGGAAGGCAAAAAGTCACCTACAGGAGAGCATCCCTGCCGAAAAGAATTCCTCTCCCAGGTGACAGAGAACCTGTATATCAAGGCAACTAGTTTAAAATCATCTGTTCCAGTAAGTTGATCCCACTAGTCAAAAAGTTTATTTTATTTATAGATACTTCTTTACCAGTTTCATTACTGAACTCCTGGAAACTTTAAGAAGCTGAATGATCTCTACAAATCTAAGAGACAGGGTAATGTAGCTACTTCTTTTGTAAAGGTGTGAAAAAATTATGCATAAAAGATGCATAGAGAGGCTGGATGAGTTTGCCACGGAAGTTTGTAGCTAGGCTAGGTTTGGAACACAGATTTACTGAATCCTCATCCTACATCTGAAAAGGATGATGAAGATTATTGTTATTTCTATTAAGTTTTGTACAAACCAGACTTGAAACTCTGTCTCCCTTCTTCTGCTCAGGTTAATTAATACTAGCACATTATATTTTACAGAAGGATCTCATCAAGACCACAAGATTGCTTAAAAAGTCTACAAAAATGCTGTTTATGGTAAGATTTATACTGGTTTTCCAGTTTCTTATTTTGATTTTACTTTTATCAGTAGAGACAGGAATATGTCATCAAAAGGAATTACAGATGATGCAAAAATTGCTTGTGTTTAACTGGGATGGACATTTATGAGAGTTGTATGCTTAACGAAGTCCTCTGCTTAGAGGAAGAGTGTTATTTCTATGCCACATATTCCCATGGGACACGATGAGACAGTTGATCATAGTACAGGGAGAAAGAGGTGAATTTGGAAGGCCTACCTGGAGGCACTTCTTTCTAGATAATTGCAGTGGTGCTCTGCCAAGGAAGTTGGGGTGAGGGTATTTGTTGTGTCAGGTAGGAGTGTGCTCATAGTAGCATTTTCTCCTCCTGTGAGCCCTTGGTTGCACACCAGCCTCCCCAGAAATGTTCTCAAGCATCAGCCCATTCACATGAGGGCCAGGGCCATAGCCACTGTCCTGGCAGCTGAAGCACCTTTTGTTGAGGGCATGCAGTACCATGGATAGCCCAGGGATGCTGCAGAGAGTCAGGATACCCAAGGAGCTGCTTTGAGCTTAGACCTCTGCAGGTGCACTGGGAGAGAGAGGTCAGAGTTCCCAGGAAGACTCAGCAAGGGAGCGAGAAACAAAATTTGGGGTGTCTAATTGTAAGTGACTATAAGTGTATGAGATATTTTGTTTTCTTCATGCAGAGATCTAGTCAGCAGGGTCAGCTGAGCCAGTTTATCTTCAAGTACAGACCAACTGGTCTTCTGTGTTCCTTGGATTTCACTGACTACCTTGGGAGTGAAGGCTCCTCACTTGGCTGTGGGACCTACATGCTGGCCATCTGCATTTGGGTGGTGTAATATGCAGTTGCGTTACCCTTCTGATGGGAATTTCACACCTGGTACTTGGTTCTATGGCCGAAAAACAGGCATATATCCATTTGAATTGACTTTGTGTGCCCAAGGGAACCACTGGGCCACGCAGATGTGACACAGGGTTGACAGGATGACTGGTCTCTTCTGGAGTGGCAGTTGGGGGTGGGCGGGATACCCTACAGCGTATCAAATGGCACTGGACACGATGTGGAGGAATGGAACAATGATACCCACAATGGCTCCTACAATTTGAACAAGATGGTCTGACTGAACTTCTCAATTTATCTTTGTGTGTTGAGTACATTTGTTGCTGTCATTTCTGTTCATGGTTGGTCTTACCAATACTTCTGTGCCTGCCAGTGCAGCACCTTCCTGTCTTTCCTTCAGAAACTACAACTAGATTGAGTTAGTTGTAACTCAAAAAGGAAGCAGGCCAAGGGGATACTACAGTACATAAAAATGGTTTTATTCATTGCACGCTTTCCAAACATGCCTATTTTTACGAGGCTGAAATTTTCAGCCAAAGTTGACTTGTGAGGTTTTAATTTTGATACTCATCACTTGATTTGTTTTCAGACAAACTGCAGTGTTCGAGATCAGCTCCTGTCCTTCTATGTGAATAATGTTTTCAGTCATCTTGGGGTAGGAAGAGACAAGTTGTATGTTATTAGCGCCTTCCAGGTCCTGCAAGTGAACATGGATGCCTGTGTGAGTATATTCCAGGGAGCTAAACTGATTTTGTCCATCTGAAAAGTTAGGGAAGGGCTCGTATATCCTTTCTGCTCCTCCACACTGAATTCCAAAAGAACTGGTGGTGTCTCTCATGAGTAAGCAGGAGCCACAATTAGGAAGCACATCAGAGCAGTTCCCATGTGCCCACAGTCAGAGCAGGTTTTCAGGGAGTGGTGCTGCCCACTGGCAAAATGTTCCCAGAGTGGACCAGATGCCACAGAGAAGAGGTACTTTTACAAACATAACAGTTAAACACGCTTTTGCCTACGCAAATATACATCTTAGGTAGGATGCTAAGTTGACACCAATACTTGTCAATCGTTTCTTGTCCTATTTTTAATGGTAGACCAATAACAACAGGGTGTGTCTTCAAACTATATATCCTATGGATGTTTTTTTAATTCCCTAAACCAGTAATTCTCACAAGTCACAGTGTCCCAAAAAGTGGAGCATGACTTAGGGTGACATATAGCCATGGATATCCAGGCAAATGTCTACAGTGATTTTACCGAGTGAGAACAGGATGAGAAGTCAATGAACTAATGAAGTTTAAGAATTAAAAGAATTTAAACTTTGTCTAATCTGAATTGTATGATAGCATGAAAGAAAAGGACATTGATTCTATGCTCACACAAATATTTGCAATGCAAGAATAAACAACTTTAGAGATCTCTTTACAGAGTTAAGAAACCAATCAGAATATTCATGTAATGTAACAAGATTTAAATCCCAATGGGAGAAAACTTTACCAGTTTTCAGGTTCCGCATTTAAAACCATGCTAAACAGTTAAAATTTACAGCCATTATTCACAGCATTTGTCATACTGCTGTGGTTATCTGTGTCTGTCAGCATTCCAGATAGTGCTGTACTATAACTCCAGAATGTTATAATACAATTCCAGATGCTATAATATACTTACAGAGATTTCATTCTTGTCTGGAAAAGCAATTACACTCTATGCAAATGCCAGTACACACTGAGGGATTTGGACTGTCAGCTGTGACTGAATTCAGCATATCGGTTATTCTAAAATACTATCAGCGACCGTAGCTTGCTAGACAGCTTAGTAGCACATTTGTTTCTGTGTTGTATGGAGACAAAATGCTGCAGGTTTCTGAGAGTTCCTGCATTCTTTTTCATAATTAGTGCCAGTGCTTTACCCAACACAAGTCTAAACATAACAACTTATGTTTCTGGATCTTAGAAAGTGTTGGTGGGAGAGATAAGTCTTCTCCTGGTAGTAGAAAAACAGTAGCTCTTTGAGAAATGAAGGTTTGCCATGATTTTCTAGGAAACATCTCATTTCTGGAAACTAACACTTGAAGTCTTTGTATTAATTTATATTAATTTAAACCCAATAATAAAAAATCATGTGAAAGAATAATAGAAACTGTGAATAGAATGAAAGTACTAGATCCTTTGCTAATGCCAAGCTTGAGATTTCTCCATCATATTATTCCTCAATAAATTAGCACTCATTCATCCACCTACATAAGATCTTTAATGGTTGTTATGTAGCTGAGTTATAAGATGTTTATCTGAAGGGATTTACACCATGACAACATACTTATGTAATGAATTTGTTACCTTTCAAGGATAAAGTTCTCTATATAATTAAGCATAACAGTGATATATTTGTATATATACATATATATCTCCACCCTATACTCTTTAACAAACTCAGTCTGTAATTCAGCCAGCTAGAGATGTGTGTGCTATTTAAAAATCTTAACAGTATTTGTCTCTAAACCACTTTCAAATACTTTATACTCCAATGTTATGATTCTCACTCTGCTAGACGTTTTGTCCAAACAAGGAAGCTTTAATGTTTTCCAGTGATATAGGGACCCACGTTCTGTTTTTTTAAAATACATAAACTCTAAAATCCCTAAACCCATTTTCTGCAGTGAAATCAGACTCTTTCACTTAGTGTAATACTACAAGATAAAGGGAACAGGCATTTTTCCTTGGATACTCGGAGCATCCACCTGTAGCACCTCTTGGCTCAGATACCCTACTCAGCTTTGCTGAGAACATTATGAAGTTGCTTTGGAGGTCAGACTTATGTTCCTACATCAGTAGTGGATTATGGAAGTGTTTTCTCATATTTGGGTGGAGTGCAGAAGGACTCTGCAGTATCTTAAATCATTTCTCTTTCATTGTTGTAGACCTTGAGCAGATATTGAGTATTGTTTGCAATAGTCAAGCTAACTTGCTAGCTCATTTATTTACCCGTTTATGCAGGAAGAACAGAGTTTGTAATATGTATCACCACTAAAGCCAGCATAGTCATTTAAGGTCAGTTTTACTACCAAATTTGTTTGTTTGTTTTTTTTCTGGAAATCTGCATCATACAAGCAGACCTTTAAAAAAAAAAATCAAGGAAAAAAAGCCCCAAGTCAGAAAAAACTGCCCTGGGTAGAAGATTTTTAAAAATTTACTTCTATTTGAATTGTTTTAAAAGGTTTACTTTTATTTCCACTTTCATCATGTGAGGTGCCTTTAGGGACTGACCATCCATTTCAGTGGAGTCATCTCCTTTCATACGAGTTGAGGACCTTTGTCTTTTTCTTTTTCAAACATATTGTCCTTGTTTGTAGATTGGAAAACACCAGATTTTTCCATTTTTTTTTCCCCTGAAAGACTGTACCTTCCCCTTTGAAAACCCACTGAGCTCATATTACCACTTTTTTGTGTTGTGAACTCAACTTGGCAGGAAGCATGCAGGCAAAAGAATACATCTGAAGTAGAGGGAGAAGCGGAAATGATGCTGAGTTCACACATTTTACTGGTAGCCCTCTAGTGCCACACTGTGGGTTCAACTCTTCCTCATTACTACATATATTTACATCAGCATCTTTGAATTTCTTTTCATCCTTCAGCATCCATGTGCTCCATCCACAAGGTTAACTTCTGCAGTCAAAAAATTAAGGAGAATGTTTTTTAAGGTAAGAACAGGAGGCACTGGCTCCCTGCTGTGCTGTTCCAGGGCTGTAGGTAGTTTCTTTTCTAACGCCTTTATTTTCTCAACAGCTTGGAGAGAAGGGAATCTACAAGGCCATCCATGAGCTGGACATTCTCCTTCCCTGGATTCAGGCCTACATACAAACCATCCTATGAAGAATGAGGAGGTGACAGACAACATGCTGCTGCTGTGCTAAGAACAGATCCTTACCCAAAAGGCCTGAAAATGAATCGAGAGCCAGATGTGTCTGGCAGCAACTGTCTCCCATGAAAGGAGAGCCTCTGTAACACGACAGCATAAAGAGGGATTTTCATAAATTTTCACAGTTAGCCTGGCCTAGCAGCTATGCTTGATCTGCCTCTGGAGCAGCTACAGTGTGCTGCTGTCCCTTTCAACCTGCCTGCCTGCCTGCCTGCCAGCTGCCGCACAGGCAGTACCTGAACATATCATGCCAGCATAACTTGGAATCTGCTGTCCTAAGGACCAGTTACATAATCCCATGTGCCAAGGGCATGATCTAGCCATGCCTTGTGTCACCCTGCGTGAATACAGTTCAAATAAATGAAGAACACTTTTGAAAATCCCTCCCCTAAGCTATATTTCTTTTGGTTTTTTTTGTTGTAGATACATAACAATATACAGAAACCATTCTACATAAAAATGAGAAAAATAATTGGGTACTTCTTATCTCTATTATTAATTTAAAATAATAATTGATCCCTAATAAACATATACTAATTAATGTAAAAACTTTGGTCTAGGTTCCATGCATGGCCTTCAAATATCACATGATCTACATGAGATCAGACATGCAGAAAACACAATAAATGAATTGGTTTGTCTAGGATTGTAAAATGGTTTGAGAGATTTATGGAACTTGATGGTAGTGGTTTCCAAAATGTCTCTCACATAGTACAGATTGAAGATGGTTTTCTAATTTTCTCACATATTTAAATATTTGCCAGGATTACGAACCTATTCCCAAATCTGTATGTTTGACACTTCCATGGGGCTGAGATTCTGCAAAATTTCAAATTTCATAGTTCTGTTGTGTAAGGAGAGTAGAATACATCAGTGTGCTGACACCAACAAACCTTAGCCAGTTCTTCTGCACTGTAGCCCTCTGCAGCCAAGGGGTGTTGGCTGATTTTTGACAGGTGGTCTTTTGATTCCAAGGTCCAATTAAATGTGCTCTCAAACCAGGCTATGATCAGCACATCTTTATTTTCATTTCTTCAGGGGCCATTCAGAAACTCTCTGGGGTTGACATACCTGTGGTAGCTAGAGCAGTAGGGGACAGCCTAGCTATTCCCACTCCTGAACTCCTGAAAGGGCCACCGCTGCCGCTAGTGGGCTGTTGATTGTCATCCACATGAGTTGTTAGTGGCTGGTGAGGTTTAGGAGGGAGAAGAGCATCGTCTCTTATATAAACTGGCAAATCACTGCCCAGCATCCTGGAGGGGAGAAAGGGGAAAGCTAAGAGTAAATCCAGCTTGTGACCTGCTTCTGTCACTAGCCTGTATTCCAGCAGTTCCTTACAACCCCACCTCACCCCTCCTTGTCTGCAAACTGTGTGTGACTTGTCCTTTCTGATGCCTCATAAACTGCTTCAGGTTACTTTAACATCAAAGAATCATATTAGTTGCATGTTGAAATATCAGACAAAGTACAATGGTGGATGCTCTTTGGAAATGCTTCTGACCGACTCTGGTACCGGGACAAGCAAAACCAGTGTGCACTTCATGTGCTCACCCTTCAGTGTGCACTCTGCTCAGAGTTCAGCAGTCAGTGCCGTGACACTCATACATATCTTTTGCAGGGGCCCCTTGATGTCTCTGTGTTGATTTTAGTCATCACATATTAAATATCCCAGTTCAGGGGAGTTGACTGCAGGCACCTTTTAATGCATTGGGATAAACACTGGATGCGGTTTGTCTAACACTTATATAAAGAAATGGGCATACATGCTAGTTTTGGTTTGTTGAACATTTTCATCTTTTGTAGTGTTTTCACCTGATGATGTATATCTCACAGGTTTGATTAAAGAAAGGGCTGACTCAAAGAACTCTAAAAGGAGGAAAACGTCCTACAGTCTCTGATATAGACAATTCTCAGCTAAATTCCATTTCTTGTTACTCTTCTGAAGATGGAAAATCAGTTATGCAGACAGAAGGAAATAGGATGCATGAATAAACCAGTGTTACACCTCACATAACTAGTCGGATGGTGACTGAAATCTTCTCTATGCAGAGTTTATATTTTTTTTAGCTGTATGATTTTCACATCTTCTTTGACCTCCAGGTTCCTCAGACATTGACTTAAAAGGACAGAGCCTGGGAATAGACAGCCCAGGTGCCCATGGCAGAAGTAAAAGAGAAGAGCAAGAATGTTTTGTCAGACAAATTCAGTTGTAAATTGTCCTATAAAAGCTAGTCAGTAAATAATTCACAAAGCCCCCACAATTAAAAGAAAAAAGATAAAGGGACCCAACCAGTGAATAATATATAATCTACTAAAATTGTTCCTTGGCGCTAAAAATTTAAACTTTTTCCTTGTGAAGGATAATCAAGGTGCCTAACAAAAACATTCTTCTGCATATACGTTCTTACTCTGTGAGACAGCAAACATAATGTGCCTCCCAACAGTGGTTTTTAGATTTTACAGGGAGCTGCCAATCCACAACATACACAGACTAATATTTAAGAGGCACAGGTGAGGAGAAGAAAGCTGCCTTACACCCCTTATTCCAGAGGAATACCAGCTCCAACTGAATGCCTTGTATGCTTGGCAATGAGACACAGATTTACTCATCTATTTTATGAGATGTTATATATTGTTTCATTATTTGTATTTTATTACTAGAGGGAGTTGCACTATATGGCACACTGGGTTTTATTGCAGTACCTTACCAGGCAAATGTATTTTATTTGAGCAAACTATACTATAAACAAAAACCTGAACATAACATTCCTGGCTCTGAGGAATCATTTCCAAATTATTTTAGATCTTACTGAATTTCCTTCTTATTCTGATTTGAAATTCTCTCCTTTACATAGTAACGTGACACCTATGAGCCTAATAAGACCAAGACATATTTGTAACTGACTCTTTTAGAATTCATGATGCCGATTGTTGCCAAAATACCACATTCCAGGAGAAGAAACAGAAAAGGCTGTCCTGGTGCTTTAATTAACAGGAAGCTGCAGAGACAGAGCTGGGCACATACAGGACACCACTGCCCTAAAGTGCAGGGCCCATCCTGGCCTCACATGGCTGGAGCAGGAGCCTGCATGTTTCCCATGGTGTGATGGTTGTTCCATGGTGAGCTGGGCATCAGGGGGACCCCAGGGAAGGAAGGTATGGCTGCCTGAGTGTATGTTCACTTGCTCACCCCTAAGAGCATAACTTCGTGATTTCAAATGTTTGTCCTGCAGACAAACAACTGCATTGTAGCCCTACTCTCCTGTGGAGTCAATGTTCAACATCAGCTTGCAAATGCCAGGGTAAATGTCCAACTAATAGTAGGAGATTACTACAGAAAATAATTTTTTTTTCCAGTGGTTAATTAGATAGTGATAAAGGTGATACATTTAATGTCATGGTCTTTTTTGAGCATGCAATTTAATTTTCAGTTAACACAATCTCCTTTTTTATGGATTTATTCACACAGCTCACCCATTTGTTTGTGAAGTTTACATCTGCTCTTGGTTTTGTTGATTTTTGTTGAAACATGGAATAGAAAATTGACCATGGGCATGGTTTCACCAGCCTTCATCAGATATCACTGTCCAGCCCTTGCCACTGTCAGTGAGCAGTAACTGGGATCTAGGGGCCCCCATGGCTGAAGGCACTGCTCCTCTGGTACAGAAGAGAGCCAGTGGCTCCTGCAAACAGGAAAAACTGCCACATTTAATTGAGAGGATCCATGGGCAAAGGTTTCCAAAGTGATTCAGGTTGCCAAAGATTTTTCTTGTGGAAATTTTGCTGAGCTACCAGATCCAGTCAGTGGGTGACACACGAAGAGACTGATGAACTTTGAAAAGGGCAAGTAACACCTGTTTTCCCACTAGGCTGCATTCTGGGGGTCAGCCCTGCAGTGAGTATGGGCAGTCAGCAGATCTCTTGCAGCAGGGTTTGAGGTCAGGCTGCAGCAAGGCTCAGGTCAGTTGTCTCCACTCATCTGACAAGGAAATCAAGTTACTTTATGACATAAAAGCTCAGGACTTGTGTATTTTAGCCCTCATTTTCTACATGGCTTAGGACACTTTCCGCTCTTAATTGCCTTGTCTGTAAAATGAGAACACTTCTGGGCACAATGCATCCCTTCATCCAGTAATGAAAATCACATTTCCAAGCCAATTAAATACTCCTGAATGAAAGGCAAAAAGAGCATCTGCAAAATAAAGGTTTTTATTTAGTAGAAAATTCTTGTCATAAGTGACACATGCTATATGCAGGCTACCTAGCAACAAATAATTTGTTGCATCTTCACAGGAACATAGCAAAATAATTCCTATTAAAGATATTTAAGAGACAATTTGAAGTCGTAAGTATGGCAGAAAGCTTCTTGCTTTTTAAAACTGGAAAAGTGAAGGAGCATATTTTAATTTTACGGGTGAGACTCTAGGTGTCACTCTTAGAAAACAAGACTCATGTTGGTCTCAGTTTACTTATGACTCCAGTTGATGAAGAAAGTGTTAGAGCATATTTCATAGGTAGTTTCCTCGGACAGAAACTGAGATAGATATCCAGTTGGATTAGAAAGATTGAATTATTTAAATTCAATTCCCACAAACATAGAATTAAAATTAAAAATGAAGGGGAAGAAAGATGGGCATATAGCCAAAGACTAGGTTTATAAACCAACTATGAATTCAGTCTATGGTTTTACTATAGAATTCTGACCATAGATGAGTTCCTTTATTAAGGTACTGTTCTCCTTTGGCAAATGGAAAAATTTTCTATCAGTTATTAGCCCAAGGTAGTTTAATTTTGTTTAGCATACAGAAATCCTTAGAAGGAAATTAATGCCCATAAAGTGTTATTTGTTGTCACCATTTCTTAACATGTCTTATCACAGTGTTTTGGTCTTTTTGAAGTAGTGACTCTTACGACATGGGAAAAAAAGGTATTTTATGACTGTTACTGCAAAAGCAAGAATGAAAAACATGTGTCTATGTATTAAAATTGTCACTAGATCACAATTTCTTGAAAAACACTGATCTAGCGGAAAGTAGCAGCTGCACATGCAATTTTGGTGTTATGTAAATAATACAGGAACAGTCAGCAAAGACAACAATTTCCATCACAGACAAGACCCCGTACAGTTTTCTGCTTTCCCTGAAGTGGTTTTTTTTTTCCTCTGAAGTGCAAAATATTCAGACCAGAGACTATCACTTAATGAGTAATTTCTGCTGTAACCTTAAACATATACAACAAATTCCTCATCT